GCCCAATTTTTATCACACATCTAAAAGTTCATGATACAAATTTATTTATTGTTCTAAAATAATATTACTCAGTATATGTAAAATTATTTTACAAATCTACTTACCGCAATAACATCTAAACACGCATCACATACTTTCCTAATTGCTGGATTTTTATCATGCATAAGATCTATTAAATACCCAGGTGCTTCTGCAAGTAACAAAAATATTTCAGCAATAAGAAACATGTCAAATTTTCTATTTTTATATAGGTTTTACCAATGCTATGTTTTGATAACAAAGCAGGAATTTTGATTATTACCATTACCAGTCTCGCGTATTAAATAATCCCTTGTCGAATCATGTTTAGATATTTGATAAAAAACATAAATTATTTGTAAAACCATTTCATCATCCTCTTGTTTTGCTAAAATAAAATTATTTTGATTAAAATAATATTATTGTTTATACATATTTGTAATAATATACAAACCTTTAAGAAGCTCAATAAGAGATAGCAATATATCGGCTTTGCACAGTAAACGTGCACAATCTTCGTCAAATGCAGCAGTACCCAAAAATATTACAATTTCAAGTACTAAATCGTCTGGAGCTTTACCTGGATAAAACCAAATGCGTATAAATGAAATATAAAATATTTAAAAATAAGGTGTTTATATAATTTGATATGAATGTTGAACCTGGAACAAGATTATTGCGTATCCATGGTATCAAATCACATCGATGAAGTATTTGCGAATAATCCAAATCAGGTAGTTCTAAATTTCCTAATACACCTATAACTTCAAGCACAAAATCTTGAGAATCTGATTGATTTAAGGCCATAGCAAAATCACCCACAAATTCCTAGCAGTAATTAAAGGTAATTTTTAAATATTTTTATTAAAAACAATTGTTTCATACAATAATTTAATTACTTACAACAAAGTTCTCTTTTGTTGAATCGTGTTGAGAAATATTTCGAATCATTTTCATTATTAAAGGATCTTGAGTCCGAAATGCTTTTTTTATGAGACCTTGTAAACGATTGTTTTCTACCATAAGTTGCGCGTTTTTGCCATTAATTGCTAGATTTATACCAAGTGCTATTAATTCTAGCTTTGGTTGATCATCTTCAGAATTTAGGATCATATTTGTGATCTTAAAAACGTTTAAATATAATATATTTTATATGAATCATAAACGTTATTTATAGTTATACTAAAATACTTTATTACTTACCATTTGGATACATTCAGTATTTGTAAACATAGCTTTTACTTTATCATCCATACTGGCATGATATAATAAACCCAAAATTGTCGTTTTATTTTTAATGTCACTTTGACCAAGTAGTTTAATTAACTTTGGTAATATACCCACTCTTATCATTTTTGCTCTGAGTTTTGCATCAAAGGAAAGATTGAATAGTAATTTTAAAGTACTTAAAACAAGATCTGCATTATTGCTCTGAAGAAGTCTTGGAATCTTTTCGATAATATTTTTCTCCGCCTAAAAAAATAGTTATAAATAAATAAATATATACCACTACTATGTGAATCTCCAATTTAAAATGTTACCATAAGATCCTTATTCTCGCGAAATATAGATAACTTTTTTAGAAATGCTATAACAAGTATTAACAGATCTATATTTGTCCTATCTAATGTTTTGATGAGCATACCAATTACATTCTTTTTGCGCATTTTTCTTTCAACTTCCATATTTTCAGCAATATTTAATAACAAATAAAATGCAACTGTAAAATAGGTATATATGTAATATTTAAAGAGTATTAATATTAACAAAATATGAAATTATGTACCAACCTCGTAATAGTTGTTCCTGCTTTTTTATTAAATTTTTGAATTTTTTACGACTTTTCTCAAGTTCTTCTTTTAATTTCTTTATATCATTTTCAGTTACAGTAACAGTTACTTCATTAGATCGTTTTTTAATTTCATAATCTAAAGGACCATCTGTATTCCAAATATCATCAACGACTTTTGTTTTCTTGTCGCAATTATCATTTCCAGTTGAAAAAAATGTCAATCCTGTAGTATTTTCGAAATGTCGCCTACGTTTTTCCATATCCTCTTTCCATTGATCATATCGACGTAATTCAAAGTCAATTATATCCATACACAATGATCCAATCTAAATATATTCTTAAATATATTCTTATCTTTTCCCATTCTACTTTATTCTTACAGTACTTACCCTGTATTCAAGAACAATATTATGAAATTGACTATATGTTGAAAAACAGAAGAAAATGTATACAATATTTGTAGATAATTCTATGCTCCTTCTCCAATCTTCTCTTAGAACTCTAGCTAAAGCACTTAACAAAGATTCTATAAAAATTGATATTAATTATTTGTAATCAGAACAGCAGATGAATGTAAGTTAATAACTATTATATAATATTTAATACCATTTTTTGTTAATTCATGAAGATTATCAGGTACTCTTGCTAACTGTAGAATTAGTGATGAACCTTTGATTTTTCCTGGTATTTCTTCATATAATAATTCAATATAATTATCAACATTGCTAATGATTGCTCGTTCTGTTTCACCATTATCTGTAGATACTGAATTTGATGATGTTGGTCTTGATAGTTGAGAATTATTATCACTGTCTACCATAAAATAAATATATAATAAAAGAAATGGGAAATATCATTAAAAACAATTTATTTATGCATATGCAAACTTACTTATAGTATCATTTGTTTTACGATTTTGAAGATAGTAAATTAATTGTTCTACTTCATGAAGCTTCGATTCATGTATCAAAGAACATTTTTCAATTACTTCTTTAGCTAAAAGTGATACATTTGTGTCTGAATTTAAACTTTTTAGTCGAATTATTTTTTGACATTCCTGTAAATGTATTGTAATTTATAATCACATAATCATTCCAATCTTCCCAATCTTTCCAATCAAAATAGAAATAAATTATTTAAAACTTACTTTACGATCTCCTAACATGGGATCTCCTAATTCACCCAAGATTAATGCTTCAACATCATAATTTACTACTAAAGCTCTCTCTGTTGGATGCACATCTAAAGTGCCAGATCTCACTTTTCTAAATTTGGAAAATGCATATAATATAGTTACAAACTATGTATTAATTCAAAGAGATATAAAATATTAAATATAAAATCTAAATGTATATTTCTCAAATTCATGTAACAACTATATAATGTATAATTCATAGTATATTGATGTGATAAAATACTTACCGTTTTAGAAACTTTGCCTCATCCATTTTAATATTTTATTTATGCAATTTAAAACATGAGAATATGGTATATATTATGATATTATTTCGTCAATTCTTTCGTAATTACTTCATTTTGATGGAAAAAATCAAGATTATAACTACCGTTTATAATTCGTTTAGGTCCTTTCGTCGCCCTGTTATTCCAATATCTTTTTGGTTCAAAATTACGCCATCTACTATAGCCTAATGTACTATCTTCGAAATTCAAACTATGATTAGCAGTAGATAAGGTAATAATAATTTAGGAAAATATAAGAATTATTGTTAATATTTTATTAATACAATTTAGTCGATATAGTGTACAATTTAAAAAACTATATAATGGCTAAAATCGATTTTGTCTGCACTTATATTTTAAATTCACCTACCTATATAGTACCTTATATGTGATATGTATATATAACTATATATGTGTATACATAAACCTATAAATACATACATCTGGAGTTAAACTAAATCAAATCTTAAAGTGTGCTTAATGAGATTAAAATTAATGTTTATTACAAACACCTACAATAAGAAATTAAAATATTTAACACCTGTACATAATAATTCAATTTAATATACATTTATTTACATTATAACAAGTAAAATATCTGTAAACTATAAAGTAGTAAACTAATAAGTTCTTTATATTATAAAATAAAAAGTAAAATATTTTTCAATTAAGATGGCAGAAACCAAAGTTATCATTGATTGTGATGCTGGTATAGATGATGCACTAGCATTAATAATATTAATTGCTGCTCATAAACAAAAGAAAATCCAGATTGAAGCGATTACTTGTGTCAATGGCAATACAACTGTAGACAATGTGGTAAAAAATGTATTTAGAACTTTAGATGTTTGTAAGGCAACAGATGTAAGTTCTAGTTTTTTTACATATTCTATGTGTTTTTAACAAATGTATGTTAAATACTTTATTATTTTAGATACCAGTTTATCAAGGAGCATACGCACCTTTAGTTTGCATTAAAAATGCAGTTCAGGATCATTATCATGGCATTGATGGATTTGGAGATGTATATAATACCCAGATAGATACAAGTAAATTAGAACACGAACATGCTGCATATGCATTGAATAAGATTGTATCAAAACATCCCAATGAAGTGAATGTCTTATGTATAGGACCATTAACAAACATAGCATTAGCTATAAAAATGTACCCCCAATTTGTGGACCATGTGAAAGAATTTTACATTATGGGAGGAAATGCAACAGGTGATATTTATTCTCTTTATTTATTTTTATTAATCATGTTTTCGTACTTTTATTCACCTTCATTGTATACATTAGCACAAGGAAATATTACACCTCAAGCAGAATTTAATTTTTACATGGATCCAGAAAGTGTACATATAGTATTTAATAATAATAAAAATCCTTTGAGGCTGTTACCATGGGAAACATGTTTAAAATCTTGTATTTCACATGTGTGTATATTGATTTAAGTACTGTGTAAGCTACTATCTAATAGATATCAATAACTTAATTTAATACTTTTTAGGAATGGCGGAGAGACGTATTAGGTAAAATGGATAAACCTTGCATTCAGCTTATAAATGATATTGAATATGCATATCAAAAGACAAGAAAAAGACGATTTCCTAATTATATTACATGTGATGCAATTTTAGCTGCAATATTATTAAAGCCAGAAATTGCTCAAAATGTAGTGCCATATCATGCTGATATTGAATTAAATGGTACTAGAACACGAGGTCAGGTTGTACTTGATCATTTATTGTTAAATGAACCTAATGTACTCCTAATTCAAGATTTTGATTCAGAAAGTTTTAAAAAACTTTTAATATTTTCTGTAGATAACTTAGATTATAATATGACAAATATATAATAAAGTTAAACTACAATATGTACATGAATAATATTTTGCGCATATATATATATTTTTATATTTGGTTTATTATTATATAGATTATTATATAGATTATTATATAGAAACACAAGAATGATTTTATATATTACTCAAATTCTAACAGGAATGTTCCCAATTTTTAAATATTTAGACAATGCCACATTGTACTATATAACAGTAAAAAATATAATGTCATACTGTTTTATTATTCAATATATGTATTTACAATATATTATCATCTGGAACAGTAAAAAGGTTAATTTATTGTAATGTAAAACATTGTAAAAATTTGAAATATATTATTAATGGAGTATAAATATGTATTTTCAGAGTATAATTATACCTATTTCAAACAAAATATTATAAATCCGATTTCACGGAATTCTGGAATTCTTGAAATTGTTTTCTTGCTTCTCGATTTGATTGTAATAACTGAATCAATTCTGCACGAATATCGTCATTTTTTTGTTCGAGGTTATCCAAAACTGAATTAAGCTGATCTAATTGAGCATTTATAGCTTCAAATTCTAAAATCAGAAAATTTGAATACATATGTTTTATTCAATAAAACTATACATTCTATACGTAGAATTTTATTAAAAATATAATATGTAAATATGTATATGCAAAGAAACTATATATACCAAATACTAGACAAACTAAGAAAACAGTTTATCTATCTTGTATATTTTTATATAAAATTATTATTTACCAGCATCATTACAATTTTCTTCATCTTCTTCATTTTCCCATCCGTTTTTATCGTCTCCTTGATTTTCCTTTGGCCGCACTGCGTTCTGAACCATATTTTCATCTGCCATTACCTTTATCTACCATTATCGTTCGATGTGATATACATATAAATAAAATTTTGATTATATACATAATAGTACATAAATGTTAAAATTAGCAGAGTTGCAATTTGAAGTGAATAATTTTGCCTTTTATAACTGCTACTGTATGAATACAAATTATATAATTATAAGATCAGGTTTTTTGTACATTGCAAATATATCCTAAATCTAACCTATTTCGAAAAATAAACTATTAGTGATCATATGAAAATATAATTTTGTACAAGACATTTAAGATTTAATTATTTTAAAAATATAAATAACATATTTTTTAAATTGCAATATTTTATTAGAGATATAGACAAAATTGCATACTACGCAAATATATGAAATATTTAATAAAATAAAATATAATTTTAACAACTTATAAAAGTAATTTCATAAACAATATTTAGAGTCTACTTCGTAATACATCAGCAGCAGCAATAGTTTCACCAGTAATGTATGAAGCATCATCACTTGCTAAAAATGTAGCAACTTTTGTTGTATCATCTGATTTACCAAATCTCTACATTGGTATTGTTGATAATATTGCTTTCCCTAATTCATATTTATGAAGTTATGTAAAATATTATTATGTATTATTAATAATATAGTAAGATAGTAACAAAAGAATACAAAAAAAATGTATCATTTGTGAAAATTTAGTCTTTATAATACCAGGTGCTATGCAATTTAAACGAATTCTTTCAGACGCAAGAGTAGCAGCAGCTACTTCATTTATTCCTAATAAAGCAGTTTGCTAATGCAATATACGCTGAAATGCTGCAATATAAATTTTCAATTGCAATTCATCATGAAATATACATGATAATGCTCAGTATAAAATACAAGAATTACATCTATGATATCAGATGTATGTGTTAGTACTTAAAACACGTTTTTTAAAAGAAAATTTCTTAATTAAATCTTAAAATTTATAATTGAAAGAAAATTTTGTAAATCAGAGCTCAAGCTGAAAAATAAATAATTATAGGACTGTGTATTTTCTTTATCATAATTACATATAACATTCTTACATACATTTTTTTGTTTGATTAGCACTTTTCATAAATTTGTTTATTAAAAACTCTTAACTGATAAAAAATCTGTGATAACTGATATAATTAAGTAATAAATGTGATTATTTAAGTCAATTCTCCACAAGCTATTATAACAACTTTCTGAGTAGGAGTGCCTGTTTTTGTTCCACATTTTTCCATTTTTTTTAAAACATCTAAACCACTAAGAACATGTCCAAACACTACATGTTTTCCATCTAGCCAATCTGTACGTGCTGTACATATGAAAAATTGTGATCCATTTGTATTTGGACCAGAATTTGCCATTGACAATGTACCTGGTCCTGTATGTTTTAGTTCAAAATTTTCATCATCAAATTTATTTCCATAGATTGACTTTCCTCCTGTTCCATTATGATTTGTAAAATCTCCTCCTTGACACATCTACATTTGTGTATATAAGGAATATAGATCCACTGTTATACTTGTTATATAAAAGATACATGAAAAAAAGTATCTAACTTTGTAAGAGAATAAATAAAGGATACAAATTCTGGAATAATTCTATGAAAAGTGCTTCCTTGATAACCATATCCCTTTTCATGAGTACAAAGGGCACGAAAATTTTCAGCAGTCTTTGGTACAATATCAGCTCTCAACATCATAATAATTCTACCCACTTCTTGTTTTCCGATACTAATATCAAAATATACTTGAGGATTCTGTTTTCCTTTTTTTGGTTGTACTGTATCACTTGATTTTGTATTATCATCATTTTTAAGTGTTTCACCTGCATGCTCTTGTAACCATACATCATCAGCCCAAACAGGTTTCGATGAACCTTCCTTTATCTTCTGCGGTTTTGCAATATTTACTCTGATTGTTCGGCCAAACAACTCAGAATCATTCTGCTTATTCAAGATAAGGTTTGATAAAATTTATGGATTAAATGATTTTAAAACGATCAATATTATAATGATTAAATAAATGGAATTAGTTTTTTGTCCACATTTATATGAATCTCATAGTAATAGATAGAAGAGAATATAATATACATTGTGTTTTTTATATTAAATTCTTCAAACTTTTTTTTGTATAATTGTTATTGCAAAGATAGAACAAAATGTTAAAAGAGCAAAATATTACATATATTATCGAAAGAATTTGAGATTGAGAGATTTGGCAGATCTTTGTTATAAAACTATATTAAATAACTCACACAGATAGTGTTGTTTTATACATGTACCATATTATCAATTGCTGCTGCTGCATCTTCTGCACTTTCAAACTCAATAAAAGCAAATCCTCTATGTTTCTCTGATTCATAATCTAATGGTATTTGTACATCGACAATTTCTCCAAAAGGTATAAATGCCGCATGTAATACTTTTTCATCAACCTCTTCGGCTAAGCCCCCTAGATATCGAAAATAGTAATAAACAAGATATATAAATTATATTAAAAATAGGTTATATTATCATAATATATAGGTAGAATTAATAGTAACAAATTGCTACCTACCCACATAAATAGTTCTTTTCGTATTCGTACTCATGGTGCATAAAATTCTTGTATGCTTTTTGTTTTGTAGAATATGATACTGTAATAAACATTTAAATCCGATAATAATTTTATTGACTGAAGGACGCCGGCGCGCCGGCTACACACACTATTCCAAAGTCGAAGAATAAACTGGAATACGTGTATAGGTTTAATCAGAAAGTCGGAATAAAGCAACGGCAAGTTATATAAGGTCAATTGCGATAAAATTAATAAGACGAGTTGATAACGTTACTTGAAAATAGCTGTATGCAATAGAACGTTGCATCGAACACATAAGTTGCCTTTCTTTGATATTCATCTATTCAAAGGTAAGTGTCATTTTGACAGCTTACTAATATATTCATATGCAAATTATAAAATACGTGATTGAAATAACATCACCGTGTCATTTTTTTAAATGTTGCTTTTATTCAATATCAATTATAACATTTAATGTCCAGTTTCATAATCGGTTTACCTACATATAATTATCATTGTGTTTTCACTCAAAAAGTGATGTAACTTTTTTATAATCTTTCATAAATTATTTGGTTACAGATTATGCATTCAACTTTCTCTAATATGCATCTATTACAAAGAAATATTTCATATTATACTGCTTTCTTAAGTCGATCAATGCATCTTTTAAGAGATCAAGCATATGTAAATGGAAAATGGATAGGAGGAAGAAAAAATGAAACATTTCCTATTTATAATCCAGCTGATCAATCTGTTATTAACAATGTGCCTGACATGGATGTTGAAGATACAAAATTAGCAATTAATGCAGCATCTCAAGCTTTCAAATCATTTAATGAGACAACAGCAAAGGAACGAAGTGATTTACTTAGAAATTGGTATAATTTAATGGTAGAACATTCAGAAGACTTAGCAAAAATCTTAACTAAAGAAAATGGAAAATCTATCACAGAATCTAAAGCTGAGATCAAGTATGGAAATTCATTTGTTGAGTGGTTTTCAGAAGAAGCTAGACGAATTGATGGAGAAATACTGCAAACACCAATTGCTAACAGAAAGCTTTTTCTATACAAAGAGCCTATAGGTGTTGCTGCTTTAATAACACCATGGAATTTTCCACATGCTATGATTACACGTAAAGCAGCTGCTGCTCTTGCTGTTGGATGTACTTGCGTAATTAAACCATCAGAAGAAACACCTCTTACTGCTTTAGCATTAGCAGATCTTGCAGAAAAAGCAGGTTTTCCTCAGGGAATAATAAATGTAATTACAACAGGTTTAAAAAATTCTCCTGCTGTTGGTAAAGAATTATGTGAAAATTTTGATGTAAAAGTTTTATCATTCACTGGTTCAACGAATGTGGGGAAAATTTTGTACAAAAACAGTGCTTCAACTGTAAAACGGCTTAGTCTTGAATTAGGGGGTAATGCATCATTTATTGTTTTTGATTCTGCAGACTTAGATATAGCTGTACATGGTGCTATGGCAAGTAAATTTCGTAATTCTGGTCAGACATGTGTTTCTGCAAATAGGTTCTTTGTACACAGTAGTAAATTTGACCAATTCATAGAAATGTTTTTATCAAGAATTAAAAGTGAAATTAAAATGGGTGATGGTAGTAAGAAAGGTGTCACACATGGGCCTCTCATTAAAGAAAGTCAGTTAAATATGATACATGCATTAGTTACTGATGCCGTAGAAAAAGGAGCAAAAGTGCATTGTGGTGGTACACCATTACCTGAGTTAGGACCGCTATTTTATGCTCCCACACTTATGACAGATGTTACTAAAGACATGCAAATTTACAGCAAGGAAATTTTTGGCCCAGTAGCTGTTATTCATAAATTTGAAACCGAAAATGAAGTTATACAATCCTCTAATGATACATCTGTTGGATTAGCTGGATATTTTTATTCCCAAGATATATCACAAATATTTAGGGTAGCAAAACAATTAGAAGTTGGAATGATTGGTGTGAATGAAGGGATAATTTCTACTGCAGAAGCTGCTTTCGGAGGAGTAAAAGAATCAGGTCTAGGAAGAGAGGGTTCTAGACATGGTGTTGATGATTTCCTTCAGATAAAGTATTTATGTCTTGGAAATATTAAGTATCATTGAATTTTATTAAATGATTTATTTAAATTATCTAGTATAATAATATTAAGAGGGTATTAGATCCTAAAAAATATCGAAGTTAAAAAATGCTCAGTTAGTAATATATTCTCATAATCAATACAATAAGTTGAAACTTTAAACATCTTTTGTATAAGACAATAGTTTAGGATAATTAAACAGTAAAATATTGATATAATATGTACTATTTATCAAATTGAATGTCTTCCAGTAGTTTATAAGTTATAAGAATATTACAAATAATATATATAGATAATGAAATATATTGTACATTTAGTGCATTTTGATATGTATATATATATTTGTTCATAATTTATTAATTTTTGTGCCATACGGAGTAATGAATTTATTTTTATGTATAACTAATATATAAATGAAGTTTTTATTTTACTTAATAAAAATATGAAAAATATAAATCGACTGAAAATATTGTCTTCCAAAATGTCTTTCTATAATAATAATATAATATTTATGTAAAAGAATAGGACATTATAAACATATACAGTCGTATTTTTGAAATAAAGTTATATTCACAGTATGTAATAGTAAATACACATACGGCAAAACGTTAGATATTTGTAATCAATAAAGATATAATAACCAGAATAAAACTGTAATGAGAATGTCAGCAGTTTTTAAGTCCATGTTTTTGAATATACCTTTCTCTAGCTTCCCTTAGCATTTTAATTTTTCTTTCCTGGAAGGAAGAAGATCCTACATTACTGTTGTCTTTAACTGTACTTTTTTGTAATTGATTTAGTGGTGCTGTTCGTGTAACTGTTTGAGATGAATCTGGAGTATAAGTAACTATGCCAT